AAAAAACTAATGAGATGACAAAGTAAAAGTGATGATTTTTTTATTTCATCACATGTTTTTTTATATTTATATTATATTTTAATAAACTCATTAATCACACTTTAATAAAATTTTTAATAATTTTTAATAATGCCACAATTAACATCTTATTTAAGATGAGTTACAATATGAAAAAAAAGTGAATGTGAAGGTGAAGTGCCCATCAATACAAAAATTTAAAATAATTCAATTTTTTTCCTACATATTTTTAAATTTATAAAAAAATAATTTGTCACTAAACGAACCTTAAACTTATGAACAAGTCAAAAAGATGTTGCTTTTAGGGGAAGTAAAGCTAGCTGGTGATGCCTTTTGGTCGTGGAGGATGATACCAAAACTCAGACCTCAAGCAAGACTCATAAAACGCCAAATTGGCTGTGCTAAGGGATACATTTCTGTGGTTTGATTATTGGCACCCAAGTGGGACCTGTGCTGGAAACTTTGGGAAATAAGATTCCCCTGGATGAAGCCTTACCTCTCCAAGCCAAGTTGTCTTGTGTTGTACAGGGGAATTACTGGATTTTAGCCCCCCCTGCTCGGTCTGCTGAACTGCTGCAAATTCAAATTGGCCTATGTGGTGTGTTATATCCAAAATCAGATCAAAAGGATACTGTTGTCTAGGCCCATGACCCTCCGGCTAATTTATAACTGGGCATACTTGGAACCATATGAGGAAGAAACTGCCTAAAGTCCCTTGGTCTAAATCTGTATGCTTTTCCGGTTTAATTCGAGACAATTTCATTTCCTAGCTGGCTGTTCTGAATAGGCTTACTACAAGGGTCAGACTAAAAAAATGGTCCCCTGAGGTGGATGATATCTCTTCTCTGCAAAGCTGGGAAGGATGTTGCAACCCCTTCAGCAAAACAATTCCTAAAATTTCTTGCAGGATACTTTTGTTGGACACCATGTATGCCAAATATGTCTTGTTTTCCAGAGGAAAAAGTCCGAGCACAATAGAATGGTGATAAGCAACCATTCAAAACCACAAGGAAAAGAAAATTTGTGTTAAGTTCACTAAAACTGAATGTTACTTCAGAAAGAATCCATGCTGATGCCCCCAAGGGGTGTCTGGGTTAAATGTTTGAGAACTATGTTGAAGAGCTTAAGTTCGAATTTTGAGATGGTTGGGGAGGGGTTAAGGGAAGAGGAGGATTATTCTCTATTATATAGCCTATCATCTAATGTACAAAAAAAAAAAAAAGAGAATCCATGCTGATTGATTATTGGGGACACAGAAAACTTGGACCCAATTTCCTCGATGTTAATTATGAATCTATAATACTTAAGAGAAAACATCAACTGTATTGTCCATGGCAAAATTTTCATTTTCCTAACACACTTTTCAATTCATTTGGATTCAAAAAATTATGAAATCAACATTGCCTGGATAGTTGGGGTTTCCCATATAGCAAGCCTCTCACAGCAGATATTTCTCGACAACAATCCGGCCAAACTTCTCCTGGACATCCTTTGGAGTTTCAATCTGTAAAACACAAAATGGGGACAGCAGTCAAACTGATATTTGGTAAGAAGAAACTGATAAATACTTTGGTATTAGTGATGATGATAGTTACTGCATTTAGAGCTTTGAAAAGAGCCTTGACAGTGTTGTGAGGATTCCTTGACCCAACAACCTGAGAAGAAAGTTGAGGTTAACAAAATCATGATATAAAAATGTTATGGGCGAGAAGTGTACTGGGCTGGAAGGCTAGAAACCAGGGCTTTTCAACCAACAAATACAACTCAAGACCAGAAACCAACCTAGTCAGATATGGAACTCAAAATGGAATAAACCATTACCAGGCTGGTTATGGAATATCTTCCATTTTTTAGTAAGGATTAGAGGGTAGACTGTAGACTTTGGACCTTGTACTAAACAAAGGTTGGAAAACTTCATAGTTGGCTATTCTAGGGTCTACTTTGACAGATCTCAGCTTTCCTAAAAACCGCCAAGTGAACATTATTCAATCAGAAAGGCCATTACCTTTGATTTGATATTCTTGAAGCCAGCTAAATGCAAAATGGTTTGCACTGTTCTTCCTGCTTTCATGCCTGTTGTAGTTGATGCAGGCCAGAGGTACACCTAAGACAGAGTACAAGTTCAGAAAGAGAAGAATAGAGAAAAGTAAACAGTAGGAAGCAGGCAGGAATGAACCTAGGAAAAACTAAGATCAGAAACAACCAGAAAAGATAGTGAAGCACCTTAGTCTTCTTGTATGTAGTATGAACTGCATGTGCAATAGTATGCTCCTCATGCCGTTCAACATAGTGGAGATTTTGAAAGCACTTCTCATATGCCTGTTGGTTGGTTAAACAAGTGGAGGTGAAACAGACATTAAACTAGAAACATAAAAATGGATAAACTAAATATGCTCACAGGGGATTATACAAAGTGTTCATCTCAATGAGTTTTCCAATGCTAGGATGAAGTAATCAAAGCAGGCCGAGTTCTATTTAATGAAGCATACAGATTGGCAGTAGTCATTGCAGGCCCAGGTTTTATGTTGCATAAAAAGAGTGATAATGAAAGATGCCAAAGAAGACTTTTCCAAAGTAAAGGAGATGGTACCAATAAATATCAAATGATGACCAATTAGAAAACTAATAACCAGATTAGTTGGTAAACCTAACGAGTCTGCATATCAGGTTTAGTCTGTTGGTCAGTTAAACAAATATAGGTCAACCAGGGAACTCTAAACAGCAGGTTGCTGGTTTCAAGTTTGTACTTTTTGAAATTTTGTTTTCTGGAAATTATTGTAACTGATACTAAGCAATACTAAATATATAATTAGTCTAGGAATAACTAGGCATAAGAAAATGTCACTAATAACATACTTTCTGAAGGGCAATGGGGACTGCTGGGCCCTTTGCTTTTGCAAAGCCAATAACACCATGATAATTCCCACAAGCTAACATTGCAGTGTACTTGACCACTTGACCACCCTGAAACACATTAAAATCATCAAGAATTACATAGAAACTACCTAAAATCATAAAGAACTTGGATGACACAATGATACCTTAGTCACTTTACAAGTTCGATTCATATCTATCAACCTTACATCAAAACCCTGCCATTGTACGACAAGAACTGAGTTAATTATGATTGAGAATAAGAATACATGTGCCTTCAAACCAATAACACAAATGTCGAAAAATTAGTTGAAACCAAAATCAGGTAAATATTACAACTTTTCTTCACACAATCTGACTAAGCATTGCCAAACTAATGCAGAACCATGTAAAAACAAGTGAAAATACCAGATAATCCAGCCCAAAATGGTCAAGCTTAGGGCAAAGAACTTCATATAGATATATGAAAATGAATCTATCATTCTTCAGCCTTACCAAAGTTCTTTGATACTGTAAAGAATTCTTATAAAGAGTTCAACATGTGTGATATAACAAATTCCAAATTGAGTTCTAAACTAAAGTACATGAATTAAGGATAATAAATAACCCAGATACATGAGTGCTTAAAAAACCACCCAGAGCACACAGTTAAGTCACAATGGAGTACGAGAAAAAGCACATTCTAGGACTCTTAGCTTTAAAACCTAAGACTAGTAACAAAGTTTTTGACCTTTCCAATGAACATAGCTTAAAATCAGTTATTTTAAAAAGTGATTATTCAAAAGTTCTATTGTTGTGCAAGCATAGAGATCATGCAACACAAAACAAGGCAATACAAGTTTTAACTTCAGAATATTTTTCTGGCATATTTTTATAATGCTACAACCAATTAAAATCTGATGAGAAAAATAAAGTGTACCTGAAAAAAGAAAAAATGAGGAAAAGCTGCAACAAGCAAAGTTCATCCAAATTATCACAACTAGATTCACAAACTTTTGGATTATAATCTGGAAAATAACTGATAAGAAGTTATCTATCTGATAGATCATTGTAACTGACAAAAAAAACAAGTTGGATGATGCATGCACTTACCTTCCTATAAAGAGGTCTTTTTCTCCTCTCTGTAAAAGCATTTCTTTCCTCTGCCAGATCTCTAATCTCCTCCTCCAGAAGTTTTCCTTTCTTCCCAAATGTATGATCCAACTGTGCTAGCTTCTCTTCAAGTTCCTTGTCAATAGCATTAAGCTTCTCTAACAGTATGTCATCTCTCTCTTTCATGTCATCAAACTCTTCTTCATCCTCATCATCAGCATCTCCTGGTATCATTGGGTTTTCTCCTTCATCTCCAGCCTGTTCTACAAGTTCTTCAGAAGCGCCAACTTGTTCACGCTGTATAACTCCATAATTGGCAGGATTGTTAGGATCATAGGCTTCCTTCCAATCTACCATCCTCATAGCCCTATTTAGTTTTTGTTGAAGAGTGAATCTGTCTTTACCTTCTGCTACCTTTAGTCGATTCATCAACTCACCAATGACCCTGTATTCAGGGCGCAGCCGGAAATGTTTTTGTTCAAACTTGTCAATTTTATTCATACACTGAAAAGCCTCATCAAGTGTCTCTGTCAAATATAGTGTCAAAAATGTCACTAATCATATCCAAAAGCAACATGTCAACTACAGAGGTAGTCACCTCTTAAATTTAAGAGATAAGCTAAAATTGAGAAGTTAAATAAGTGCAGCAGAAATGTTAACATAAAAGCAGCATTTTGTTGCCAGGAATGCACTGCAGGGCAAAGAAAATGTGGGAGCTCGAGATAATTAAGGGCATGCTTAAGAACATTGCTGTTAATTCAACAACAGTAAATTAAAATAAAATTTTGAGAAATTAAAAAAAAAAAAAAATCATAAGATGTCTACCATTTAAAATATACAATCTAAAAGCCATAGCTGTAATGACAGACTCAATATTATAGGTGTTTGAACCAAAAAGTAGAAATAAAAGTTTATAGTGTACCAGCCTCAGTGAAGTTTTTGAGCAACTCCTCATGCCTCTTACACTTTCTCTTATAAGTCTCAAACCCCTTCTCTGCAGCTCTTATATCTTCCTCGTCTTCCTCACTGTCTGAATCAGTGGGTTCTTCATGCAACATCAAGTCATCAGTATCCTTCCACTTCTCTTTCTCAAGTTTCTCTATCAATGGCATTACACCCATGTAATCTTCTTCGTCATCCTCATCAATGTCCTTGGTTCCCAGCCCTTTTCTCTTCCTCTCCTCCCTTTCTCTCTGCTTTTCGCGCTCTAATTCTGCAAGAAGATCTCGAACTACATTTTTGGAAGCCGTAGAAGCTGTAGAGAAATAGGCTTTGGAAGGAAAGGATGACTTTGGTCTATGGTTGCCCGGAAAATGAGCCAAAGTTGAGATCTTTCTGTAAAATGAAGGACGAAAAGTGTCATGGGGGACAAAATGAGGCGGATTTGAGAAATGGGTATCTGGTGAAATAGGGAAATTAGATGTTTGGGAAGCGAGAAAGCGTGGGAAAGTGGAGAGCGGTGGGAGTTTTCCTGAGGGTTTGAGGTTTTGTCTCAAGAGCAAGGTTGACATTGTTAGTGATTCATTCAAATGAATGGAATTGACGAGGTTTGAGCAAAAAGACGATGACGATCCTAAGAGCTGAGAGAAAGGTCAGAAGAAGGCTAGGGTCTTTCTGCAGAGGTTTTTAAAAGGTTAATTTCTTCTTTGGTACCCAATCTTTCTGAGATGAGACACTTTTATCCCCACCCTTTATAAAATTAAACTAATGTCTTCTCCCTCGACACTTTATTCTATCACAGAGTAGAAACTGAACTGTGTAGCAGGCCAACCAAATCCCTTTCCCTTGAAGCAATCATTCTAAGTTATGATAAAGCATTTCAATAATCACCGGAGACCCTTCCTTCTCCTTCATCCCCATTTTTTTCTCCCAAAATCCTTTACTTTCTCATTAACCGATCACCCTTCTACCCCAAAACCCAAACAAAACCCACCTCTCTATCCTCGCAATTTTTGCACTGGTATCATCCCATCGACCAAGACCCATATCTATGCCTCTTTCTTCTGCACCCTTATACACCTGTACTTGGACTGTGGCAGATACTCCAATGCAACAGACGCATTCTCTGCGATGAGGAAGCGTGGTGTTGTTCCTACTATGCCCCTCTGGAACCGGCTTATTTATGGCTTCAATGCCTCTGGCTTGGTCTCTCAGGTATGGGTCCTTTACTGTGAGATGATCTCCTGTGGGGTTTTGCCTAATGTTTTCACAGTCAATGTGTTGGTTCATTCCTTTTGTAAAATGGGTAATATCAGTTTTGCGCTGTATTTGCTTAGAAATGTTGGCCAGAACAATATAGATACTGTTACTTATAATACTGTAATTTGGGGGTTTTGCAAGCATGGTTTGGCTTATCAGAGTTTTGGGTTTTTGTCTGAAATGGTTAAGAGAAGTATAAGTATTGATTCTTTCACTCGTAACATATTGGTTAAGGGGTTTTGTAGTATTGGGTTGGTTAAATATGGAGAGTGGGTTATGGATAATTTGTCCAATGGTGGGATTTGTAGTGAGGTTATAGGGTTCAACATATTGATTGATGGGTATTGTAAAAGTGGAGATATTGGTTATGCGCTTCAATTGTTGGGGAGAATGAGAAGAGAGGGTCTAGTTCCCGATATCATCAGTTATAATACTTTGATATATGGGTTTTGCGAAAAGGGTGATTTTGTTAAGGCAAAGAATTTAATTGATGAGATTTTGGAGTCTAAGAGAAACAATGGCTATGATCTTTTGAAGACTAATGATCCTCTGGATGAAAGTAGGGCTGCAATGGAACCAAATCTCATCACACACACTACACTCATAAGTGCGTATTCTAAGCAGCAAGCACTTGAGGAAGCACTTTTTTTGTATGAAGAAATGGTCACCAATGGATTTTTGCCTGACATTGTAACATATAGTTCAATTATAAATGGTCTTTGCAAGCATGGAAGGCTAGCTGAAGCAAAAAAGCTATTGAAGGAGATGAAGAAATTGGGTATGGATCCCAATCATGTCTCTTATGCTACTCTTGTCAATTCATTGTTTAAAGCAGGCAATCCCATGGAAGCTTCTGCCCTTCAAAGTCAAATGGTTGTCCTTGGACTGGTGTTTGATGTGGTGGTTTACACCACTTTGATGGATGGGCTTTTTAAGTCTGGAAAGCCAAAAGAGGCAGAGGATATGTTTGTTTCTCTTTCAAAGCATCATAAGTTAGTGCCAAATTCTTTTAGCTACACTGTGTTGATTGATGGCCGCTGTAAATTAGGAGACATGGATGGTGCAGAGGCTCTGTTGAAGGAAATGAAGGAAAAACATGTTGTAGTGAATGTTGTGACTTATGCTTCCATTATAAATGGCTATGTTAAAAAGGGAATGCTTGATAAAGCTATTGATGTGATGAGGAAGATGGTGAGTGAAAATGTCTTGCCAAATATTTTTATTTATGCTGCTCTACTTGATGGTTTTCTCAAGGCAGGTAAAGAGGATGATGCTCTTCAACTCTATAATGAAATGAAACAGGTTGGATTAGAGGAAAACAAATTCACAGTTGATGCTTTTGTTAATAACTTCAAAAGAGCTGGAAGAATGGAGGAAGCTAAGGGATTTTTTGATGATATGATGTCTAGTGGCTTGTCACCTGACTGTGTTAATTATACATCTCTCATGGATGGCTTTTTCAAAGTGGGAAAGGAATCAGAAGCTCTTACTTTGGCACAGGAGATGACTGAGAAAAATATACCATTTGATGTTGTTGCTTACAATGTCTTAATTAATGGTCTCTTGAGGCTTGGAAAATATGAACCACAATCTGTTTATGCAAGAATGAGAGAGTTGGGTTTGGTTCCAGACCGTATTACATACAATTCCATGATAAATGCATGCTGTAAAAAGGGAAACTTGCAAGATGCATTAAACCTTTGGGATGAGATGAAGAATTGTGGAATAATGCCAAATTCCATCACTTGCAACATTCTGATAGGTGGGCTTTCTAAAGCCAGTGAGATTGAAAAAGCAATGGATGTTTTGAACGAGATGATGCTTTTAGGGTTGTCACCTAACCCAACTATTCATAGGATTCTGCTTGATGCATCTTCAAGGAGTAGAAGGGCTATTGCAATTTTACAGATGCATGAACACCTTATTGGTATGGGACTTCAACTCAATCGGGAAGTTTTTAACTCTCTCATCACTGTTCTATGCAGACTGCGGATGACCAGAGTAGCCACTTTTGTATTGGAAGATATGAGAGAAAGAGGGATCTTAGCTGACACAAATACTTACAACTCCCTTGTATGGGGGTATTGTGCTGACAGACACTTTGAGAGGGCTTTTGTTACAATGTCTCAGATGTTAAGTGAAGGAATTCCACCAAATGTTATGACTTACAATATCATCCTCTGGGGTCTCTCAGCTGCTGGTCTGATGAAGGAAGCAGATGACGTATTTAATGAAATGAAGAGAAGAGGCTTGTACCCTAGTTCTTCAAGTTATGATGCTTTGATAGCTGGCCATGCTAAGATTGGAAATAAGAAAGAATCTATACAACTATATTGTCAAATGATCACTGAAGGCTTTATTCCCAGAACTGGCACTTATAATATTCTTATCAATGATTTTGCTACGGCAGGAAAGATGGCCCAGGCTAGAGAACTTTTTGAGGAGATGAAAATCAGAGGTACGTCTCCTAATTCTTCAACTTATGACATACTTATATCTGGATGGTGCAAACTCTTAAGACGACCGGAAGTGGATGGAGCACTAAAAGTGTCATATCAGGATCAGGCCAAAAGGTTTATTACAGAGATGAAAGAAAAGGGGTTTATCCCATCTGAAAACACTCTTTCTTGTATTAGCTATGCCTTTGCAAGACAAGGAAAGAAGGCTGAAGCTCAGAGGATGATCAAAGAAGTACTTAAGAAAAAGAATATAAAGTAAATGGGCAAAATAAAAGGAGAGGAATGGTCCTGTCCTGAGGTGGTCAGCTTGCCCCCTATTTTTCAGATGCAATTGTTGGTGGCATGTTAGCACTGTGTTCTGAAACCAGGCATTCATTCTTCATACATGGTATGTGTTCATACTGTCTTGGTTCTTCCCTATTGTTATCATTTTATTATCTTTTCTCTTAGGTGATTGTGAATAATTGCTGCTTTTATTTCCTAGATGTTAATGTGATCCATGAAACATTTTTATGTGCTTTGAATTTTTGTTGGGTTGAATGGTGGTCAGGTATATCTACTTTATTATATTTTTTCTTTTACTTATTCAGCTATGGACAAGAAGAATATTTGGAATACAATTATTATCCATTCATGATTCATGATTCCTGTGAACTATAATTGCCGAGAGCTGGAATGGTAGTGGCTTTGATTTATCAACTTTTTTCCTTTTTGCTGATTAAAAAAAAAAAAATTATGAAACCTTTATCCTTCACTAATCAGACAAAGTGGCAATAGATTTTAATTTCTTTGTAAAGATTGTTTTTGATTTACCGTGTGTGACTAGTTTTTCTTTTTCTCTTAGTGATAAACCATAACAATGGTGTTTAGTTTTACTATTGCCCCTCATCAGATCTACAAAAAATTTCTTATGAATAAGTAATATCCTTTCATTGCAATGGCAGAATAATGTATTGGTAAATGAATTATCTTTCTTCAATTGGTTCCCAGAGGTATTAGTCTGATGAATATATTTTTGTTAGCTCTTTTATCCTCTTTTAGTAATGCTATTATTTAATATTTTTTTGAATCTAACCGCAGACTTGCTTCATGTCTCTGTATTTACTCATTCATGGCAACTTGTCTCTTTGAGTGCTGTGGAACAAGATCAGGCTAAAGTCTTTGCATCAAAACTTATAAGCTGATGGAGAAGCTGATTCAGCTTTATGACATCTTGCTCATGTCATTGCCTGGGAGACCAATCATGATGTTCGTGCATTGAGAATTTTTCTGAGAGCTGCCTTGTTGAGATAATGAATTCCTTTGTTGATGTTGAACAAGATTCCTAGTCAAAGGAAGATTTCATTGCTTGGTAACTTTAGGTGCATTGAGACTTTTTCTGCGAGCTGCCTTGCTGAGATGATAAATTCCTTTCTTGACGTGAAACAAGATTCCTTGTCAAGAAGGAAGATTTCATTGCTTGGTCACTGTAGTTTAAATGAATGATCTGTGAAAGATGCTGCTTCTACTACCGTTGTCAAGACTAACTTGTGCATCATTCACATGGGTCTGGCATATCTTATCAGGGAAGGATAAGTCTTCTCCTTTCCTTGGATTGTTACAAAGCACCTTTAGACGTAAAATAGAGGTTGATAGATGGGTTGCATTTTGCTTTGACCATCTCTATCAGAATCACAGCTCCTACTGGTAATCTTTTTACTTAAGCATTGCCTTTTTTGATTTTTCTGAGTTCTGATTACTTAATGGATTTGTAGTGATACAATGAAATTATATATCTTGCTTTTCTTATTGGCAATCTATCTGGTACCCATGTCATGCTCCTACCCTGTGCATATTTTTCTCATGCATTAACATTAGATAATCTTCTAAATTTTTTGAGGCTTCTAATTTCCTAATTTTCTTTCAACATATTGGCTACTTTTAGTAAAATTGTTGTAATATAAAGTGAGTTGATAAGAATAATGTTCTTTTGTGAAAGTCTTTATCATATTACTAGTATTTAATGTTAAGAATAACATTTTAGGTAAATGATAGAGTCACTCACTCGTATAGTTGTAAAGAGTCAAAGACAATGATTAGCACTTCTTTTTGTTCTTGTGTTGAAATGAGAACAGCACGGTATTAAGATCATGGGAACAAACCTGAAGCTTTTATTTCTTTAATCAGTATCATTCATTTTGCTGATGAAGATGATTGCATTAATTAGAACCAGAGGATATGAATTGAGGGGGCGCACCATAACCTTAGTTTTCTTGACAGAAGTGAGAAGTAGGGGTACAAGCATATGATGCCTGTTTTCAAGATGGTTGATGTCTGCAAATGAAGGTCGTATCCATATGTCTGAGGCAAGATTCAAGTGCATAGAGCGGCAGAGGGATCATTACCCAATTTATGCACCTGAACCTAAAGGTTTTATGCTTCTTAACTACCTCAATCCTACTTAGTAATCAAGTTTGGTGCTCTCTGTTGGATCTTGATTAATGGTGAGTCAAATAAAGATTCTTAATCAACATTTTCTTTGCCATGGACATTGAGGTATCAAACAGATGAAGAAGATTAAGAAAACAGTAAAATGCGTTTAGGAAAATATATGCAAGAGGGATGGTTGTACTCGGATACATTAACAATTATGTGGAGATGCTAATAGAACATTGTTGTTCCTCTCACCTCGGCCACTTAAAAACATTGTTTTTCATTCAATATTTCGTGTAAATTTGTGATTCTTTGGCCAAAGAAAGAATATGCTGCGTAAATTAGTTGGTGTTTACTTATTTATTTATTTTTGAACATAAGGAATTGTGGGGGAGAGAATTTTTTTTAAATGGTTGGTGGGAATTAAATTCTCAATTAATTCAATTCAAGTAGTTCGACTTGGGAATGAATCATTAGATCTAAATGTTGTTAATAATTTAAATAATTCAGTAGTCATCTTTTTCTGCTTGAATTAAGAAGTTTTGAGTTTGAATTATATGATATACAAATAAAATGGAATAAGAGATGTGAGATGGTTGTCTCTCGTTATGAAACCAATATAAAAGATAAAAAAAAAAAATCTGAATATTTGGTTTTAATTGGTGTTTATTTGGTTTTAAGATTTGGTGGTTTGTACCTTCTATCATGTTCACATTATTTCACAAAGGAAAAAGGGGAAATACGAATTCCACTTTGAGCTTTTATCAAGCAAGAATGGAACTTAAACAGCAGAGGTTGAAATCCTAGATTTGACTGGAATTCGGGAGCCTTTAAGTTCGCTATTTTCATACTACCTAAATGGTTATTATGGTTATGATAATTTATTAAATATCGTTAAAAATTATTAAATTTTATTTAAATTTAATTGTTAAAAAAA